CACCTATTGTACTCACCTATTTTAGGTTCGGGGGGGGCGAGTCCGAGCTCCTGGCCCCCCCTCTTCACTGTCGCTACTAGGTCACTCTCCCTGAGCGTGAGCTTTATCATACCTTGCTTAAAGCTATGTATGGATCCCGCCCCCACTACTCGCTTCCCAAACTATTCCACTTAGACTACTCTGTGGCTGAAGAAAAACTTCCTAACATCCCTGTGATTCATCTGTGTCTTCAGCTTCCAACTGTGCCCCCTTGTTACTGTGTCCAATCTCGGGAACATCCTGTCTTTGTCCACCTTGTCAATTCCTCTCAGTATTTTGTATGTCGTTATCATGCCCCCCCTATCTCTCCTGTCCTCCAGTGTCGTCAGGTTGTGTGTGTGGTGTGTGTGTTTTTGTGTGTGTGTGTTGTGTGTGTGTGTGTGTGTGTGTGTGTGTGTGTGTGTGTTTGGTGTGTGTGTGTGTGTGTGTGTTTGTGTGTGTGTGTGTGTGTGTGTGTGTGTGTACTCATTTAGTTGTGGTTGCAGGGGTCGAATCATAGCTCCTGGCCCCACCTCTTCACTGGTCGCTACTGGGTCACTAATCCTGAACCATGAGATTTATCATACCTCTGCTTAAAGCTATGCATGAATCCTGCCTCCACTACATCGCTTCTCAAACTATTCCGCTTCCTGACTACTCAGTGACTGAAGAAATACTTCCTAACATCCCTGTGATTCATCTGTGTCTTCAACTTTCAACTGTGACCCCTTGTTGCTGTGTCCCATCTCTGGAACATTCTGTCTCTGTCCACCTTGACAATTCCTCTCAGTATTTTATGTGTTGTTATCATGTTCCCCCTATCTCTCTTGTCCTCCAGTGTCGTCAGGTTGATTTCGCTTAACCTCTCCTCGTAGTGTACACACAGTGTGTGTGTGTGTATGTGTGTGTGTGTGTGTGTGTGTGTGTGTGTGTGTGTGTGTGTGTGTGTGTTTGTGTGTGTGTGTGTTTGTTTGTATGTGTGTGTGTGTTTTGTGTGTGTGTGTTTGTTTGTATGTGTGTTGTGTATGTGTGTGTGTATGTGTGGTGTGTGTATGGTGTGTGTGTGTGTGTGTGTGTGTGTGTGTGTTTGTGTGTGTGTTTTGTGTTTGTTTGTATGTGTGTTTGTGTATGTGTGTGTGTGTATGTGTGTGTGTGTGTGTATGTGTGTGTGTGTGTGTTTTGTATGTGGTAGGTGTGTGTGTGTTTTGTGTGTGTGTGGTGTGTATGTGCGTGTGTGTGTGTGTGTGTGTGTGTGTGTGTGTGTGTGTGTGTGTGTGGTGTATGTGTGTGTGTGTTGTATGTGTGTACTCACCTATTTTTTACTCCCCTATTTTTGGGTTGCAGGGGTCGATTCATAGTCCTGGCCCCGCCTCTTCATGATTGCTACTAGTTCCTCTCTCTCCCTGCTCATGAGCTTTATCATACCTCGCCTTAAAACTATGTATGGTTCCGCCCCCACTACTTCACTTTCTAGGCTATTCCACGGCTTGATACTCTATGACTGAAGAAATACTTCCTAACACCCCTTTGATTCATCTGAGTCTTCAACTTCCAATTGTAAACCTCTTGTGTCTGTGTCCCCTCTCTGGAACACCCGTCTTTGTCCACCTTGTCTATTCCGCGCAGTATTTTATATGTCGTTATCATGTCTCCCCTGATCCTCCTGGCCTCCAGTGTCATCAGGCCGATTTCCCTCAACCTTTCTTCGTAGGACAATCCCCGTAGCTCTGGGACTAGTCTTGTTGCAAACCTTTGTACTTTCTCTAACTTCTTGACGTGCTTGACCAGGTGTGGGTTCCAGACTGGTGCTGCATACTCCAGCATGGGCCTAACATACACAGTGTACAGTGTCTTGAACGATTCCTTATTAAGGTATCAGAACGCTATTCTCAGGTTTGCCAGGCGCCCGTATGCTGCAGCAGTTATTTGGTGTGTGTGTGTGTGTGTGTGTGTGTGTGTATGTGTGTGTGTGTGTGTGTACTCACCTAATTGTACTCACCTAATTGTGGTTGCAGGGGTCGAGACTCAGCTCCTAGCCCCGCCTCTTCACTGACCGCTACTAGGTCCTCTCCCTCTCTGCTTCCTGAGCTTCGTCATACCTCTTCTTAAAACTATGTATGGTTCCTGCCTCCACTACTTCACTTGCCAGGCTATTCCACTTTCCCGACGACTCTATGACCCGAAGAAATACTTTTCCCAACGTCCCTGTGACTCGTCGAGTCTTCAGCTTCCAGTTGTGACCCCTTGTTTCTGTGTCCCCTCTCTGGAACATCCTATCTCTGTCCACCTTGTCTATTCCCCCAGTATCTTGTATGTCGTTATCATGTCTCCCTTGACCCTTCTGTCCTTCACTGTCGTCAGTCCGATTTCCCTCAACCTTTCCTCGTACGACATTCCCTTGAGCTCTGGGACTAGCCTTGTTGCAAACCTTTGTACTTTCTCTAACTTCTTGACGTGCTTGACAGGTGTGGGTTCCAGACTGGTGCTGCATACTCCAGTATGGGCCTAAAAATACACAGTGTACAGTGTCTTGAACGATTCCTTATTAAGGTATCGGAACGCTATTCTCAGGTTTGCCAGGCGCCCGTATGCTGCAGCAGTTATTTGGTGTGTGTGTGTGTTTTGGTGTGGTGTACTCCCCAAATTGTACTCACCTAATTGTGGTTGCAGGGTAAAGACTCAGTCCGGCCCCCCTCTTATGATCGCTACTGGATCCTCTCTCTCTCTGTTTCCCTGAGCTTTGTCTACCTCTTCTTAAAACTATGTAGGTTCCTGCCCCCACTATTTCATTTTGTAGGCTATTCCACTTGCTGACAACTTATGACTGAAGAAAATTCCCTAACGTCCCTGTGACTCGTTGAGTCTTCATTTCCCCAGTTGTGCCCCCTTGCCCCTGTGTCCCCTCTCGGGAACTCCATCTCTGTCCCCCTTGTCTTTTCCCCCCGCAGTATTTTGTATGCGTTATCATGTCTCCCCTGACCCTTTGTCCCCCGTGTCGTCACCCCGTTTTCCCCTTAACCTTTCCTGTACGACATTCCCTTGAGCTCTGGGACTACCCTTGTTGAAAACCTTTTGTACTTTTCTAACTTCTTGAGTGCTTGCCCAGGTGGGGGTTTCCCAGAGGGTGCCATACCCCTTATGGGTCTAACATACACAGTGTACAGTGTTTTGGAACGATTCCTTTTATTAAGGTTTCGGAAGCTATTCTCGGGGTTTCCCAGGCGCCTTTGCTGCAGCGGTTATTGGTTGATGTGTGCCCCCGGTGATGTTGGGTTAGTCCCCCAAGGTCTTTTTCCCTGAGTAGGGGCTGTATCTTTGTCCACCTCCCATATTCTGTTGCGGGCTTCTTTTCCCTCCCCCCTCTTCATGACTTTTCATTTGCATGAATTCGAGGAGCCCGTTTTCTGGGGCCACATTCCCCTCTCCAGGTCTTTTGCAGTCCTGCCCATCCCCGTCCGATTTAAATTTTTCTCATCAAAATTCACGTCTCTGCGAAAAGGGGCACTTCAGAGTCTATTCCTTCCCTCATGTCTTCACAATACAAAAATAGCACTGGTCCCGAACGACCCCCTTGGGCCCCCCTCGTAAAAGGCGCCCACTGTGTACCCCTTTTAGTACCAGACTCGTTTCTGCCCCCTGTC